TAGAAAGGTGTTTGTCAGACCATGAGACATCCCGAAAATCAGTCTTCTCACTAAATCGTCTGTAGTGTCCGAATGGTTTGGGCTACAAACTAATATGACCCCTCTGTGAAAAGGTGTTTTGCTCTAGGACGCCCACAGACGTCACAACACTCGTCTGAAGGTCCCCCGGTATGGTTAGAAAAAATGATATACAAAAGTATTCAGACCCCTTCACTTTTTCCACATTTTGTTACATCCTTATTCTAAAATGGATTAAAGAAAAACATTTCCACAGCAATCTACACACAATACCCCATAATGAGAAAGTGAAAACAGGTTTTCAGATATTTTTGCACATTTTTGCAAATGTATTAAAAATAAAAAACAGAAATACCTTAATTACATAAGTATTCAGACCCTTTGCTATGAGACTCGAAATTGAGCTCAGGTGCATCCTGTTTCCATTGATCATCCTTGAGATGTTTATACAACTTGGAATTGTCTGTAGAGCATTGAAGGTCCCCAAGAACACAGTGGCCTCCATCATTCTTAAATGGAAGATGTTTGGAACCACCAAGACTCTTCTTAGAGCTGGCCGCCCGGCCAAACTGAGCAATTGGGAGAGAAGGGCCTTGGTCAGGGAGGTGACCAAGAACCCGATGGTCACTCTGACAGAGCTCCAGAGTTCCTCTGTGGAGATGGAAGAACCTTACAGAAGGACAACCATCTCTGCAGCACTCCACCAATCTGGCCTTTATGGTAGAGAGGCTAGACAGAAGCCACTCTCAGTAAAAGGCACATTACAGCCCGCTTGGAGTTGCCAAAAGGCACCTAAAGGACTCTCAGACCATGAGAAACAAGATTCTCTGGTCTGATGATACTACGATTGAACTATTTGGCCTGAATGCCAAGCATCACGTCTGTAGGAAACCAGGAACCGCTCATCACCTGGCCAATACCATCCCTACGGTGAAGCATGGTGGTGGCAGCATCATGCTGTTTTCAGCAGCAGGGACTGGGAGACTAGTCAGGATCTAAAAAATATGAACAGGGAAAAGTACAGAGAGATCCTTGATGAAAACCTGCTCCAGAGCGCTCAGGACCTCAGACTGGGGCGAAGGTTCACCTTCCAACAGGACAACGACCCTAAGCACACAGCCAAGACAACACAGGAGTGGCTTCAAGCCAGAGCCCGGACTTGAACCCGATCTAACATCTCTGGAGAGACCTGAAAATAGCTGTGCAGCGACACTCCCTATCCAACCTGATAGAGCTTTAGAGGATATGCCGAGAAGAAGTTTGCCAAGTTTGTAGCGTCATACCCAAGAAGACTCGAGGCTGTAATCACTACCAAAGGTGCTTCAACAAAGTACTGAGTAAAGGGTCTGAATACTTATGTAAATGTATATATAATATTTATTTTTCAAACATATGTAAAAACCTCTTTTTGCTTTGTCATTATGGGGTATTGTGTGTAGATTGATGAGAGAAAAAAACACGATTTAATCCATTTTAGAATAACACCCCTTCAAATGAGTGGAAATATTTTAGCCACACCCATTGCTGACAGGTGTATAAAATTGAGTACACAGCCATGCAATCTCCGTAGACAAACATTGGCAGTAGAACAGTGGAGGCTGCTGAGGGGAGGATGGCTCATAATACTGTATGGAATGGCGTGAATGAAATGGAATTAAATGCATGGAAACCATGTGTTTGATGTATTTGATACCATTCCACTGACTGCGCTCCAGCCATTACCACAAGCCCGTCCTCCGCAATTAAGGTGCCACCAACCTCCTGTGCAGTAGAATGGCCTTACTGAAGAGCTCAGTGACTTTCAACATGGCACCGTCATAGGATGCCACCTTTCCAACAAGTCAGCTCGTGAAATGTTCTGCCCTGCTGGAGCTGCCCTGGTCAACTGTAAGTGCTGTTATTGTGAAGTGGAAATGTCTAGGAGCAACAACGGCTCAGCCGTAAAGTGGTAGGCCGCACAAACTCACAGAATGGGACCGTCGAGTGCTGAAGCACAAAAAACGAGGACAGCGTAAAAATCGTCTGTCCTCGGTTGCAACACTCAAGTTCCAAACTGTCTCTGGAAACAACATCAGCACAATAACTGTTCGTCGGGAGCTTCATGAAATGGGTTTCCATGGCCGAGCAGCCGCACACAAGCCTAAGATCACCATGCGCAATGCCAAGTGTCGCTGGAGTGGTGTAAAGCTCGCCGCCATTGGACTCTGGAGCAGTAGAAATGCGTTCTCTGGAGTGATGAATCACACTTCACCATCTGGCAGTCTGATGGATGAATCTGGGTTTGGTGGATGCCAAGAGAACGCTACCTGCCCGAATGCATAGTGCCAACTGTAAAGTTTGGTGGAGGAGGAATAATGGTCTGGGGCTATTTTTCATGGTTCGGGCTAGGCCCCTTAGTTTCAGTGAAGGGAACTCTAAACGCTACAGCACACAATAACATTCTAGACGATTCGGTGCTTACAACTTTGTGGCAACAGTTTGGGGAAGGCCCTTTCCTGTTTCAGCATGACAATCGAACACCTTTGGGATTAATTGGAACGTCGACTGCGAGCCAGGCCTAATCAACCAACATCAGTGCCCGACTTCACTAATGTTCTTGTGGCTGAATGGAAGCAAGTCCCCGCAGCAATGTTCCAACATCTAGTGGAAAGCCTCCCCAGAAGAGTGGAGGCTGTTATATCAGCAAAGGGGGGACCAACTCCATATTAATGCCCATAATTTTGGAATGAGATGTCTGACGAGCAGGTGTCCACATACTTTTGGTCATGTATTGTATATGGAGACTGTTTAGTGCCAAAAAGAAAGGGTTAAATACATGTAAAAAGAAATATAGGATTACATGTTTCCTGATCTTTCTTATATCTCTCAGATCTAGGACAGACACTTCAGAACAAACTTATTTTTGATTATTTTTGGGACTATCTGTTGTTCCATGTAGTGAATCTGTTATTCAATGCGTTTGTATGGGCTAATAGCAGTAAGGGCAAAAACTTTTTTGGGGATACAGTGAGGGAAAAAAGTATTTTTTTTTGCAATGATCATGAGAACGGTGAGGAATCAGCCCAGAACTACACGGGAGGATCTTGTCAATGATCTCAAGGCAGCTGGGACCATAGTCACCAAGAAAACAATTGGTAGCACACTACGCCGTGAAGGACTGAAATCCTGCAGCGTCCCGCAAGGTCCCCCTGCTCAAGAAAGCACATATACAGGCCCGTCTGAAGTTTGCCAATGAACGTCTGAATGATTCAGAGGAGAACTGGGTGAAAGTGTTGTGGTCAGATGATACCAAAATCGAGCTCTTTGGCATCAACTCAACTCGCCGTGTTTGGAGGAGGAGGAATGCTGCCTATGACCCCAAGAACACCATCCCCACCGTCAAACATGGAGGTGGAAACATTATGCTTTAGGGGTGTTTTTCTGCTAAGGGGACAGGACAACTTCACCGCATCAAAGGGACGATGGATGGCGCCATGTACCGTCAAATCTTGGGTGAGAACCTCCTTCCCTCAGCCAGGGCATTGAAAATGGGTCGTGGATGGGTATTCCAGCATGACAATGACCCAAAACACACGGCCAAGGCAACAAAGGAGTGGCTCAAGAAGAAGCACATTAAGGTCCTGGAGTGGCCTAGCCAGTCTCCAGACCTTAATCCCATAGAAAATCTGTGGAGGGAGCTGAAGGTTCGAGTTGCCAAACGTCAGCCTTGAAACCTTAATGACTTGGAGAAGATCTGCAAAGAGGAGTGGGACAAAATCCCTCCTGAGATGTGTACAAACCTGGTGGCCAACTACAACAAACGTCTGACCTCTGTGATTGCCAACGAGGGTTTTGCCACCAAGCACTAAGTCATGTTTTGCAGAGGGGTCAAATACTTATTTCCCTCAATAAAATGCAAATCAATTCATAACATTTTTTACATGCATTTTTCTGGATTTTTTTGTTGTTATTCTGTCTCTCACTGTTCAAATAAACCTACCATTAAAATTATAGACTGATCATGTCTTTGTCAGTGGGCAAACATACAAAATCAGCAGGGGATCAAATACCTTTTTCCCTCACTGTACTTCAAGGGGTCTTAAAATTCCAAACACCCCCCCCCCCCCCCCACACACACACACACATTTCCCCGGCTCAGACAGGGCTTAGACTGTTATTGGTTTTAAAGGGTTTTAAAGGGTCACATTTTTTATAGGACATCTAACCTATCAAAGTAGGACAGAATTAAATCTGAGTGGTTTGTGTAAATTGATTAATACTTTTCTTTTGTTATTATCAAATTGTACTATGACATCAGATGACATACTATGTGAGGAAAGCTCCTTGTGTGTGTAACTGATGGGTGATAATTTGTCATGGAATTGTGTAGTCTTTTTCTCCTGGTGTTGGTATGGCTAGTGTGTGCACCCTACACGTGACACCTACGTGTCATTCTGAGAATCCCACCAAATAGCTGCAATGTCCGCAGACTTTACTTGGCTACCCCATGGATGTTTTAAAGGATGGCCAACTTGACACTTTAAATGGAAATAGAATATACATTTCCTATATCCTTTAACGAAGTCACTTGCTTGTTAAATTACTCTATTGCCTCTACTACCATAACTGAATCTAATTCAGCATTGGCCTATGACCCTCTGTGTAACCCTTGGAATAGTTTATTTAGGGGTCAGAGAGGTTAAGGATCATGCCAACTGAACTAGACAGGTTACATTATGGAAAATGGAAAACATGCATGGACAATAGATCATTCGATAATAATAGATTTACTTTACAATAATGAACCGATTACTGACAAATTATCATTGGCTACACTTCTTAATACCCTACAATTCTTATCTTAATAGAAATAAATCGTAATATATTTTCATATTCTTTACTAAACAGCTTAGGTTTATGTAATATTTAAACATTTTACAAATCTGAGCATTTATTTTAGGGGGTAGCCACTACTGGACAAGGGTGGGTGGGTCGAGATGTATAGGACACTCTTGTGTGGGTTTTGTTGTAAAAACTCTCTCCCCACAATCTGAGAGCGCAGCTGTTGTTGCGCATCGTAGTGGAGAGCGCGCTCTGGGGTGATGTCGAGCCTCGTGCTGCCTGCTGCGCATTGCCACTGACGGAGCTCGAGCGCCTTCCTTAGTTGTCTTGCTGTTGCTGGTAGCGGAATGTTTTCGCTCTCTTACAACGTTGGTTTCCATATGACAGCGCGACACTTCCCTTCCCTGGCCCGAGAGGACACCGTGCCATTACCATGAGTTGTTTGGATGTTATGTACCCAGCCTATGGACATTACGCACCGTACGCGCCAGCCGCCCCCGCGTTCATCAACAGCTTCCAGGTAAGGAGGCGCTGTCAAATGTTTTCGAATTAATTAATTAAACGCGTGAGAGAAACTTTGTTTTGCGAGAAGTTTACTCTGCGTTAAAAAAAAGCAACCTATTTGATTGTTTTACCTACACAAAATGTTGGATCTATGTGCAGATTATCAACGAGGTCTGTTAGAAACCAAATGTCTCCAAAAATGTTTCCAAACCTGCACTTCTCTGTTTCTCAATTTTCCATGATCAATGCTATGGATTTCATATTTGTTTTGTCAAATGTTAGTAGTTTATCAGAACCAGAAGCAGTGGATGTTTGTTGTCAGTATTTGTATGACAGGAGGCTTACCAATTGGCACATACTGATTTCCTTTGAATAGTTGTGGAGAAAACAGTGTCATGATCACAAGACTATTAGTCAATGCACACACAAGCACACATGCACACACACGCACATACACACTAACCTCCCCACAAGCACACACACATGTCTTATGTCACAATAGACTTGGTCTTCCAGATCTCTCCCTTCTAACAACTGTCTATTGCCCCCACCCTACCCCCCTCCCTCCTCCCCCTTCAGGCACCCATCGGTCTGAGGAGCCCCTCTCCTCGCCGCAGAGACTTCATGATGGAGAGTGCGGGGATGCCAAGGTGTCCGGAGGGGGTATCGGCGGGCATCAGCACGGGCCCTGGCTCTTCCTCCTCCGCCTCTTCCTCATCCTCATATCCCTGTGCCACTCGACAAGAGGAGTGCCATAAGGAGAAACAGGAAGTGCCCGAGGCTGAGTACCTGACGTCGCGTTGTGTCCTCTTCACGTACTACCAAGGGGACATCAGCAGTGTGGTGGACGAACACTTCTCCAGGGCACTCAGCTCCTACATGGAGGGAGAGGGCAAGAGGAGGGCATCGGACCTGGGCACAGGTAGGGTAGACATAGCTAGGAGTGTGTTTGGTGTTTATGTGTGTGTGTGTGTGTGTGTGTGTGTGTGTGTGTGTGTGTGTGTGTGTGTGTGTGTGTGTGTGTGTGTGTGTGTGTGTGTGTGTGTGTGTGTGTGCACCAGGTGAGGCTGTCAGAGGACACACAGAAGTGTGTGTAGACAAAAAATGGCAAACCAAAACGGCAAAGAAATGGACAGAAGGGTGCTTGTTTGGTGGTGCCTGTTGTCCTCTGCCCTGATGGGGTCAGAGGTTAGGAAGGCTTGAGGGTCAAGGGTCAGGGATATTATTAGATAAGTGTGACATGCTTCATGCTCTCAGTTAAGTGTGTTTTTGGGCAGTTAGGTGTAGTTTGGTGATTTTTCAGAGAAATATGAATGCAGATACAGGTAACATCACAGAATATGTTTTTCTTCCTCTCGCGTCAACCAATGTCTTCACATTATCTGTATTCTACAGCTTTTTTACAAACAGTTAGAATTTCTCTCGATCAAGTTCTCCACTTTTACATTTGCCAAAGTAGTCACCCAAACTGGAGTTGTGCTCTCCCTGTCCTCCCTATTTCCATGTAGGGCTTAGATCCTCCCTCTCCCTCTCTCGTTGGACGTCTTCCTGCCTGACAACAGATACTATGTTTATACGCAGCCGTAAGCGTTGAACCCCGCGGGCCAGCATATCGCCTTCAAACGGCTCCGGTTGGCCCCACAATGGCCGCTGCTGATTTATCACACCACTCGTTTGATTGGGGCTACTGCATGCACTGCCGCACGGTGGTGTCTTTTTTCAAAATAATTCTAAATATAAAAAGTAACGTCTAAAAGCATAAAACTGTCCCACTGACATTCTGCTTCGGGCGAACGGGGCGGTGCAGAAACAACAACAGGTGGGGGGTGCAGGAGGGGTGGAGGGGTGAGGGAGGGGTGTGTGTACAGGTCCAAAGGAGGGGGTAAGTAAGGGGGCTGAGGGGAGTAAAGGGGCTCCTGGGAGGGCGAATGGTGGGGGTAAGGACGTTGTGGGGCGGTACAGGGCTGACACGGGAGTGAGAGATGTCGCCACAACTAGTGACAAATGTGACCCTCCTCATGCTTTGTTTCCAGGTTAACACCCCTCAATGCCTTATATAGGCTGGCAGGACACAGGGCCGGGGTTCTCTTCCTCTCTGTGTCAATGAGTGTCGGTCTCTATCTCTGTTTCAGGTTTTAATTTCACGTGCACAAGTACAGTGAAATGCCTTTCTTGCAAGCTCTAAACCCAACAATACAGTAATCAGTATCAATGTAGTACTAAAAATAACATAAGATAGAACAAAAACGCACAATAAATACAAATAAGAAATAAGAACACGAGAAGTAAGTAAGCTACTGTATATACAGGGTCTGTTCCAATACCATAAATATTATTTACAACGTGCAGGGATACTGGAGTGATATAGGTAGATATGTATAGGGGTAAGTTGACTAGGCATGAGGATATTTGATAAACAGAGTAGCAGCAGCGTATATGATGATTGTATGTGAGCGTGTATAGAGTCAATATAAATGTGTGTGCATGTTATGTGTGTGTGAGCAAATGAAGTGAGTGTGTGTGTGTTGGAGCGTCAGTGTGCCTGAGTGTGTAGAGTCCTGTGAGTGTGCATAGAGACAGTGTAAAAAGGTCAACTTAGTCCATGTCGCCATTTTGTTAGCTATTTAGCAGTCTTATGGTTTGGGGATAGAAGCTGTTCAGGAGCCTGTTGGTGTCAGACTCTGTCTCTCTCTCTCTCTCTCTCTCTCTCTCGCTATCTCTCTCTCGCTCTCTCTTGCTCTCTCTCCCTCTCTCTCCCTCTCTCTCCCTCTCTAAGATTATCTAGTATTTATTTCTGTGGCCTGCAGGAGTCTACAGTTGGTAGGACTGTGTGCTGTATGTACATATGTACCAGGTGTAAAAAACCATGTGAACTAATGTTGTTTTCATGACTTGCATGCATCTCTCCCGTGCTATTCCATATGTGTCTGTAAATCACGCCACACAGTAACACAACTGTCCATGACATATGCCTAAACCTGATCTCTCTCTCTCTCTCTCTCTCTCTCTCTCTCTCTCTCTCTCTCTCTCTCTCTCTCTCTCTCTCTCTCTCTCTCTCTCTCTCTCTCTCTCTCTCTCTCTCTCTCTCTCTCTCTCTCTCTCTCTCTCTCTCTCTCTCTCTCAGATACCCCTTCACCCAGCAGTCGGCGCAGTTTCCCCCCCTCCTTCTGGGACAGCAACTACCCCTCCCCCCAAAGTCGCTCCCACTGCGAACCCGGAATGCCCACCTATTCCATGGACCCCTACACTTCCGGACTCCACCCGGGCATTCCGCACCCTCACGCCCATCCTCACCCCCACGCTCACCCCCACTCACACCTCCACCCATCAGAGGGGTGGGGCTACACCCCGAGCCAGGCCTACGGGCCCCCCAGGCCACTCCATGAACTCTACTCCCCCGGTGGCCTGGAGCCCCACCACACCTACAGCCCCCTGCTCATGCCCACCATGCGGCCCCACCATCTGGGCTCCCTCCCCGGGCACCACCCCTATGACGTCAGCAAGCTGGACCCCACCGCGCCCTGGCCGAGCCTGCTGTCCCCCGGAGAGATGGCCCTCAACATGGACGCAGGTATGGAGTCTCTTCTCTACTGCAGCGGAGCCTACCGCAACCACAACAAGCACAACCACAACAACAATCACCTGCAGCTTTTCAATAGCAGTTCTCTCTGCTGCAACCACAGCCACCTTCGTTTCCATAGTCCCATCGATTTTCAGTATCGGTTAACACCATGAACCTCAAACGCTCGACAGGCTTATGACCACTGACATTAACATCGGTAAGCTGATCTTTGAGCCCCCAGAAAGTATTTTAATGCTGATGAATGTGTACCCGCAACCCCAATGAAATTGACTTTTCAATATCATCTGTCAACATGGCTTAGGATGCGATTGTTAGTAATTTCAGTTGTCATTGCGCTATTGTTCTGAATTCTTCAATGTAAGCTGATCAATAATGTAACACTATTAAATGTCAGTTTCCTGAACCAAGATGGCCTCCTGGTCAGGTGACCCACCAGACGACCTGTCACCTGACCCTATAACGATGGCTACCGAGCACACCAAACATTTATTTGGTTTGGCAGCGATCAGAGGACTCTCCACCTGTATGTGTTATTAACCAACAAAACATACTTTTCCCAGTTCTCTATCAGTGTGTTTTGCCCTCTGTGCTGGGACAGTTTAGTGCCAATAATAAACGGTTGGAGTCTTGTCCACCTCACTAACCGCCCAATTTGGCGGTTAGCATCCACACACAACTTTAACCTGGTCTTACAAGCCACCTCAGCAGTTTATTTCTTTCAGCTATATTTGTCACTTTTAGGTCACATTTGTGAGCTGTCCTACTGCATGTTTCTTTGCTGCTGTTGTATAGCATAAACAACGAATTAATGTCAGAGAAAACACATCATCAATAGCCTTTTTTTTTTGTTTATTGTATCTTTTCTATAAGCTGTTTGGATTGGAGCGCAGGAGCAGCCATGACAACCATTGTGCCTCGTTCTCATTGTTTTCCTCCATTGTATCTTCTTTCTTTTTTTCTTCATCCCCAGGCCTCCAGCATCACAAGAAAGGCAAGGACCTGTACTGGTTTTAACAACCCTCCTCCGTCGCCATCGACCAGCCATTACCGGATCCAATTAGGACGTCTGGACCTGTACCATTGAAGCGCCCCCTCCACGCCGCCCCCTCGTCCCCCTTTATCCCTCATCCAACACCCCCCCTCGTCCCCCCTCATTTGCCCTCGCTTCCCCCCCCAGGCCCACAGTGCCAGCGCAGCCGAGAGGCTCCAGGTCGGCATGTGTGCACCATGGAGATAAAGACTCAGAGGCTGGGCTCATGGAGAGCAGAGCAGAGCAGAGACGGAGAGAGAAAAGATGTACAGCCTTGGCGACCACTGCTCTGCGTTCTGTGACGACTGGCCTATCTCTCTCCTCTCCTATCACTGCTCAGGGCTCAGCTGTGTGGTGTAGCAGCATAGAGACCATTGGAGGCCACTAGCAATGTGCTAACAACAGTGTCCTGGTTTGGATAGAAAGACAGAGAGGGACAGGCTCATAAGAAACTTCCTTTGGACACAGGGGAAGTGCAAACAAAGACGGATGAGATATCAAATCAAATCAAATTTTATTCATCACATGCTTCGTAAACAACAGCTGTAGTCTAACAGTGAAATGTTTATACCGGTCGCCCATTCTTTCACTACACCCCTCCCTACTGCAGGGTCTCTTCTCTGTGTTGACACTGCGCTCGTCATCCATATTATCTGGGCAGTTATCTGCATTTCAACAAATGGACATGTGATGATTGGACTGGCTGTGTATGGATTTGGATTGTGACTGTAATCATAATGCTGTTTTTTTTTATTTTCTATTTATTTGTGTTTTAATGTGCATTTTTGGCCAGTGCTCTGGAAATACTGTGGTTGTGGTTTATTAAAAGATGATTAAGGGATGGTTGAGAAACGGTTGAATAATGATTGCAGGAGGCTAGCATTAAGGTGTTGGACAGTATTTGTTGATCTATGAACTAACCTTTTAGTTTGAGGAAAGGAAACACTACAGTGTATTGTAATGATCAGCCCATTTAATAATAAGCATATCAAGCTGTTGATCAAGTATTGTATTAATAATGACTTTTAATAATTTGAATGTGTTCCATTGATGTTCATTTCATTATACACATGATTTTTAGTCGTTTTAAAATGTGGACCTTAGAATTGTTCTGAGATGTTATTCAGGGTGTGTATTCTCTTGCTTTTGTCGAGAAATAACATTATTGTCAATAAATATTTTTATGGTAAATTCAGACTTTCTTTCAATATCTGTACGGTATTCTTTGAGTGATTATTCAAAAGTATATGGACCTGTCAGCATAAAGTATGAACCCAGTGGCAAAACTGGTTGCAATGATATCATCATGACGTCTTTTGTGACATCATGGTCAGGTTATAAACTGGTTATAAAATAACAATTTTGTTATCTGACCAAATTATTACATCTTTCCTATGAGGTGTTTATGTTGTCATGAACAAAATCACCTTTACCTGGTTGTGGTCTGGTCATATGATGTCTTTTCAACCAGGAAATTATGTAATTGTTACATTACATGCCACATTTTGCCTGCTGGGAAAGCTAGTGAAAGCCTGAAGATATGTTACACTTGAAATTACCATGTTTGAGTTATCAATTTAAACAACATAGTTTTGTGGGGCGTAAATTGAAACAGAATTCAATTCCAAAATCTCAAGGTTGGAGTTATTTTTTTTCAAATAATCCAAACACCTCCAAAGACATTCCGTTCCACTTCCATTTGACACTTTGACACCTTTGAAGTGGAAACGAGCTCTGAATTCCAATTATGTGTAATCAGAGATGCCTCCAACCCTCCCAGTTATGCACAAACTGTTGCTGCACTATTGATCCAGATGATAATCAAATTGTGTAAGTATGCCAAGCATCGTACATGTTAATTTAGACGGCCATTATGTTTGAGCCACTCGGGAGCAGCCAAGTATGTCACTGGCTTTGTCCCAAATGGCATCCTATTCCCTATGTAGTGCACTACTTTTGTCCAGAGCCCTATGGGCCCCAGTCAAAAGTAGTGCACTATATAGGGAATAGAGTGCCATTTGGGATACAACCATGGCCCCTAAGCTTAGGAAAACACATGTAGAGTAATTAAGGTGGAATGACTTTATGAGGAACTGTATCTTGTTTCTCAAAGCAATCTGTGCCAGACAACTTAAAGCCATGCATATACAAAATTACAAAAGGTATATTATAAGGTGTACAGTATTGTAACCTGTATAAGCATAGGGTATATTATATCCCATTCAAGCCACAAAGATCCTATTAAAATACTTACAATTAATTAATTAATTAATTAATTTGAGTTCTAAGATGTAATTCTATGATCTAAGCATAGAAATGTTTCTATTTCAAATCCGCCATTACAACTGCAATGACCTAAAGACAATGTAACAGCATATTGCATAGTTACACCAGTTAGACTATCACTGAGTATACAAAACATTACGAACACCTGCTCTTTCAATGACATAGACTGACCAGGTGAATCCAGGTGAAAGTTATGATCCCTTATTGATGTCCCTTGTTAAATCCACTTCAATCAGTGTAGATGAAGGGGAGGAGACAGGTATATATGGAGATAGTTTAGTGCCTAAAATAAGGGCATGAATAAATATAACAAATAAATAAAAATAGTTTCCTGATCTTTCTTACAGTTGAAGTCGGAAGTTTACATACACCTTAGCCAAATACATTTAAACTCAGTTTTTCACAATTCCTGACATTTAATCCTAGTAAAAATTCCCTGTCTTAGGTCAGTTAGGATCACCACTTTATTTTAAGAATGTGAAATGTCAGAATAATAGTAGAGAGAATGATTTATTTCAGCTTTTATTTCTTTCATCACATTCCCAGTGGGTCAGAGGTTACATACATTCAATTAGTATTTGGTAGCATTGCCTTTAAATTGTTTAACTTGGGTCAAACGTTTCGCGTAGCCTTCCACAAGCTTCCCACAATAAGTTGGGTGAATTTTGGCCCATTCCTCCTGACAGAGCTGGTGTAACTGAGTCAGGTTTGTAGGCCTCCTTGTTCGCACACGCTTTTTCAGTTCTGCCCACAAATGTTCTATAGGATTGAGGTCAGGGCTTTGTGATGGCCACTCCAATACCTTGACTTTGTTGTCCTTAAGCCATTTTGCCACAACATTGGAAGTATGCTTGGGGTCATTGTCGATTTGCAAGACCCATTTGCGACCAAGATTTAACTTCCTGACTGATGTCTTGAGATGTTGCTTCAATATATCCACATAATTTTCCTTCCTCATGATGCCATCTATTTTGTGAAGTGCACCAGTCCCTCCTGCAGCAAAGCACCCCCACAGCATGATGCTGCCACCCCCGTGCTTCACGGTTGGGATGGTGTTCTTCGGCTTGCAAGCAACCCCCTTTTTCCTCCAAACATAACGATGGTCATTATGGCCAAACAGTTCTATTTTTGTTTCATCAGACCAGAGGACATTTCTCCAAAAAGTACGATCTTTGTCCCCATGTGCAGTTGCAAACCGTAGTCTGGCATTTTATCGCGGTTTTGGAGCAGTGGGTTCTTCCTTGCTGAGCGGCCTTTCAGGTTATGTCGATATAGGACTTGTTTTACTGTGGATATAGATACATTTGTACCTATTTCCTCCAGCATCTTCACAAGGTCCTTTACTGTTGTTTTGGGATGGATTTGCACTTTTCGCACCAAAATACGTTCATCTCCAGGAGACAAAACGCGTCTCCTTCCTGAGCAGTATGACGGCTGCGTGGTCCCATGGTGTTTATACTTGTGTACTATTGTTTGTACAGATGAACGTGGTACCTTCAGGCATTTGGAAATTGCTCCCAAGGATGAACCAGACTTGTGGAGGTCTACATTTTTCTTTCTGAGGTCTTGGCTGATTTCTTTGGATTTTTCCATGATGTCAAGCAAAGAGTCACTGAGTTTGAAGGTAGGCCTTGAAATACATCCACAGGTACACCTCCAATTGACTCAAATGATGTAAATTAGCCTATCAGAAGCTTCTAAAGCTATGACATCATTTTCTGCAATTTTCCAAGCTGTTTAAAGGCACAGTCAACTTAGTGTATGTAAACTTCTGACCCACTGGAATTGTGATACAGTGAATTAATCTGTCTGTAAACAATTGTTGGAAAAATTACTTGTGTCATTTACAAAGTAGATGTCCTAACCGACTTGCCAAAACTATAGTTTGTTAACAAGACATTTGTGGAGTGGTTGAAAAACGAGTTTTAATGACTCCATCCTAAGTGTATGTAAACTTCCGACTTCAACTGTATATCTCTCAGATATAGGGTAGACACTTTAGATAATTTTTTGGGACTATCCTTTGTTCCTTGTGGTGAATCTGTTATTCAATGCGTTTCTATTGGCTAATAGCAGTAATGTCAAATTCAATGTTTCATCCAATTATTTTTTTCTATCTTTTTTGATACCTTAAGGGGTCTTAAAATTCTAAATCAAATAGTTAAATAATCCTTGGTATGACCATCTTAAAACAATTCCAATATTTTTGCCTAGAACTTCTCACTTCACTTCGCTTATAGTTTTTCCAAATACAATTGTTTTTCATGTGTTGAGGCAGAGGTGTCAATGCAAACCACTACCTTGCTGTAAGTGTGGATAGTGCTGCCATCTTGTGGAGAGTTCTCATTACTACTCCAGATAAGCATAATGCCATCCGCCAGCACGAGTAAAGTATACTGAACAAAAATATAAACGCAACATGCAACAATTTCAAAGATTTTGCTGAGTTACAGTTCATATAAGGAAATCAGTCAATTGAAATACATTAATTAGGCACTAATCTATGGATTTCACATGACTGGGAATACAGATATGCATCTGTTGGTCACAGATACCTTAAAAAACAAGCAGGGGCGTGGATCAGAAAACCAGTCAGTATCTGCTGTGACCATTTATTTGCCTCATACAGTGCGACACATCTCCTTCGCATAGAGTTGATCAGGCTGTTGATTGTGGCCTGTGGAATGTTGTCCCACTCCTCTCCAATGGCTGTGCGAAGTTGCTGGATATTGGCAGGAACTGGAACACGCTGTCGTACACAACGATTCAGAGCATCCCAAACATGCTCAATGGGTGACATGTCTGTTGAGTATGCAGGCCATGGAAGAACTGGGACATTTTCAGCTTCCAGGAATTGTGTACAGATCCTTGTGACATGGGGCCGTGCATTATCATGCTGAAACATGAGGTGATGGCAGTGGATGAATGTCAAGACAATGGGCCTTAGGATCTCGTCACGGTATCGCTGTGCATTCAAATTGCCGTAGATAAAATGCAATTGTGTTCGTTGTCCGTAGCTTATACCTGCCCACACCATAACCCCACCGCCACCATGGGGCACTCTGTTAACAACGTTGACATCAGCAAACTGATCACCCACAT